TTGCTGGCGTGGAGTGGGGACATTATTATAAAAAAAAATCCTCGGGAAAGAAAAGGAAATATGACGGACACTGGGGATCAGGGGGATAAAAACCCGGCAGGCTCTGGCAGCATCGCTGGAGTGAGATAATGAGAGTTAACATCCTTCTGATGAAGAAGGGTCAGCGGGTGGGAGACATTAACTCTGTCGCTCCCTCATTGATGCCAGACACGCCCAGTTCCTCTGGCACTTGCTATTTTGATAATAAAAGCGGGAAATTTTTCCCTACAGCTGTACGGGGACCTGGGTGAGACCACGTGCCCATTTGGTCTCGTCTACTTGGAAAGGGATGGAAGGTGTTACCGAGCAGTTCGGAAAAGGCTCCATGGGAGGAGAGGGAGAAAGCTCAGAGAGACCGGGGTGTTTAGTCAGCGGGATTTGGAAGCGTGAGAGGTGACCTTATTGAAACAGTAAGATCCTGAGGCACTACACAGGGGCAGAACTAGAATGAAGAGACACGGCTTAGGGATAAGAAACCCCCCTCCCCCCCATTTAGTGCAGAAATGAAGAGAAATAGACTCTCTCCTAGTGGTGTTTGTGGAATTTTCTTCTCCAGAAAGCTTTGGAGGCTGGGTCATTGAATTAATTTGATGCTGTTAGTGGGAGCTTGCTGTGCACAAGATGGTCACCCTGCACCCCCTTTGACTCTGCTTCAAAAAGTACTGCTGAGGTCATTTGGCTCCTTCAATCGCAAAAAAAAAGACAAAAGTTGGATTCCAGAGGGGAGTGGAGAGCAGACTGGAAAGGTGAGGCTGGAACTACAATGTTAGGCTACAGGCTTGATGGGCCAAAAGGCCTAGCACGTTCTCAAGTTAGCTGCGCCGACGCTGACTTCCCAAGTACTGCCGCTGATTAGCTTGAAACGCTAACTTGTTTACAGGACTGGGCCTGAGGGGGATAACCGTCAGACATATTAACTCTTGACTGCCCCGGGTGAGGGTCTGTAAGACCCTCCACCCTCTGCAAGGGCAGATGGCCTTCCCTCCATGGGGCTAGGAGGCTCGCTTGACGTGCCAGCACGAGGCTGATGGGCCGATTCCCTTCAGCCCGCTGAACTGACGAATGTGGATTCTTGCTTTGCAGATGGACAATGGGGTCGTTCTCAAAGACTTCAAGCAGACAAGAACCAAGGAGCAGATTATTAATGCTCTGACTCGCTTCACTGACGGTTGCCCACATATCCTGGTAAGAAGGTTATCTAAGATTACAAAGAGATCTTGATCAATTGGGCCAATGGGCTGAGGAGTGGCAGATGGAGGTTAATTTGGACCAATGCGAGGCGTTGCATTTTGGTAAAACACACAAGGGCAGGACTTCTACAATTAAGAGTAGGGCATTGGGCAGTGTTGTAGACCAGAGTGATCTAGGGGTTCAGGTGTATAATTCTTTGAAGTTTGCGTCAGAGGTAGACAGGATGGTTAAAAAGGCGTTTAGCACGCTTGCCTTCATTGCTCAGACCTTTGAGTACCGGAGCTGGGACGACATGTTGAGGTTGAACAGGACGTTGGTGAGGCCTCTTCTGGAGCACTGTGTTCAGTTCTGGTCGCCCTGTTATAATTAAGTTGTAGAAGGTTTGGAAAAGATTTACCAAGATGTTGCCAGGAATGGAGGAGAGGCTGGATAAGCTGGAACTTTTTTTCACTGGAGCATAGGAGGTTGAGGGGTGACCTTATGGAGGTTTATAAAATCCTGAGGGATATAGATAGGATGAATGGCCTGTATCTTTTCCCTAGGGTGGCAGATTTCAAAAGTAGCACACATTTTTAAGGTGAGAGCAGAAGACTTAAAAAAGGACGAGGGTCAAATTTTTCACACATAAGGTGGTTCATGTGTGGAATGAGCTTCCAGAGTAAGTGGTGGATGTGGGTACAGTTACAACGTTTAAAAGACATTTGGATAAGTACATGAATAGGGAAAGGTTTGGAGGGATATGGGCCAGGAGCAGGCAGGTGGGACTAGTTTAGTTTGGGATTATGGTCGGCACGGACTGGTTGGACCAAAGGATCTGTTTCCGTGCTGTATGACTCTATGACTTGGTATCTGTCCCCAGTAGCAGACAGCGGTGTGTCTGTGTGTGTGAGTGTGAGTGTGAGTGTGAGAGTTGGGGGGGGATGTGGTGGGCATTTCTGCCTGAGACAGAAGATTGGGTCACAGTCGGTCAGTGAGACCGATGGGATGCCACATCCTTTGGGGACGGTCACTGGGCGGCCAATGCCTGAGTGACCCTCTCGCTCCCCCTGAGAGAGGGAAAGAGACGACTGGCCCAACGCGATTGGATGACAAAATGACCGGGATTTGATCAGTTGGCAAGGGTCACAGCGCGATGGGTAGGAGGCCGCATCGGGGAGTAACCAGTCAGTCCTTTTGGTATCCCCACCCTTCTGGCTTAGAATCAGCGCACGACCATCCGCATTCTCCCTCACAGTCACCCCCTCACCCTGACCTTTGACCCACGTGACGCCATCCTTTGAAATTGAAGAAAAGGGCTCACATTTCCCCTCGCCATCGGACTGGTCCCACGTCAACTGGGCTCTCCTGTGGACTGCTACCTTATGGAATGGGCAAATCTAATCCACCCATCCCCGTTCCCTTCCCCTTCAAAGGTGACAACACAACATGCTGTCCCACTAGGTGCCATGCTGCCGTGTTTCACTCCCACATGATTACAGAGCAAACTTTTGTCACTAAACTGGGGCCAATGTCTGGCAATCTCGAAGCACCCTCTTTGGGGCAAGACAGCATGACTCGCTCTGCATGGCTCTCCCAACAGACAGAAAAGAAATGGAAGCATATATTTCAGAGGTCTCAGTTCAGGAAATTTGATCAGGAGCGTGTAGAGAGACCTTTACTCTGTATGTAACTCTGTGCTGTCCCTTGTCTTGGGAGTGTTTGATGGGGGGAGCAGTGTAGAGGGAGCTTTACTCTGTATCTAACCCCATGCTGTCCCTGTCCTGGGGAGTGTTTGATGGGGGGGACAGTGTAGAGGGAGTTTTACTCTGTATCCAAGGCTGATATGAAGGTCAGCTGTAAATTGAAACTCTATTCCTTTACTCATTTTACATTTCACAACTTCACAGCAGAATATCACACCCTCATATTATCCATGCAAAGTATTGGTGTAAGCCTGCACAGACCTGCCAAGAGTATTATAAATTAACCAGCTCGGGTAATCCTGGCCTCAACAATAAAAAGATAATTGCAATTTCCTGCTGGGTTTCTCTGTGTTGTGTTTGGCAGCTGCCCTGTAATTTGATGTAATGCATCATCACAGCCACTGATTAAATGCTCGCTCAGGTTAGATAAAATCTGTGCAGGAGATTTCGGATAAAATACACATAAACAGGACAGACTCAAAGCTCCCTCTACCCTGTCCCCCATCAAACACTCTCAGGAAAGGGACAGCACGGGATTAGATACAGAGTAAAGTTCCCTCAACACTCCCCCATCAAACACTTCCCCAGGACAGGGTCAGCACGGGGTTAGATACAGAGTAAAGCTCCCTCTACACTGTCCCCCATCAAATACTCCCAGGACAAGGTCAGCACGGGGTTAGATACAGAGTGAGACTTCCTCTCCCCTGTCCTCCATTAAACTCTCCAGTCCTGACCTATCCGTTATGAGACTGCTCGCTGTGGGGTTAAGTGAGAGCAGTGGTTGATTTTTCTCTCTGGAAGTTAAGCCAAGGCACTCATATCTAGGACGATGTGTACCTCAGTCTCAGCATTTCCTCTTCATTTTTCAGGAAGCCTATTATAATCGATTACACGCCATCAAGGAGGCATTACTACAGTCTCAGTTTTTCAGATGTCATGAGGTACGTTCCAAGTCTGGTGTGAGGTCAGTACCAAGGGTCAGCTTGCAGTCCCACAAAGTGAAGGTTGGGTAGGATTCTCTGTGTGACCTCTGTGTTTTTCAGCTCCTGAATACCAGGTTTCCACATACCACTGTATTCCCAAAGTTACCCCACGATTGGTGAATAAAATACAGCCATCCAAGTGTGATGTGCAGGGAGCCAGTTACACACAGCAAGCTCCCCTAAACAATATCACAAACACTATTCACTTTAATCCACTGGGAGTGAATGGGAAAGGGTTTGATCCATTGGGATTGTGTACAATGGGAGTGAATGGGAATGGGTTTGATCCATTGGGATTGTGTACAATGGGAGTGAATGGGAAGGGTTTTGGAACCATTGGGATTGTGTACAATAGGAGTGGATGGGAAGGGTTTTGGATCCATTGGGATTGTGTACAATGGGAGTGGATGGGAAAGGGTTTTGGATCCATTGGGATTGTGTACAATGGGAGTGAATGGGAAAGGGTTTGGATCCATTGGGATTGTGTACAATGGGAGTGAATGGGAAGGGGTTTGGATCCATTGGGATTGTGTACAATGGGAGTGAATGGGAAAGGGTTTTGGATCCATTGGGATTGTGTACAATGGGAGTGGATGGGAAGGAGTTTGGATCCATTGGGATTGTGTACAATGGGAGTG